AAATAGATTGTATTTCTAATACTATGAATTATTAGAAAATGAAATAGAAGTCAGAAGATAAAAAAAGTAGATGATCTGACAAACATGTTGAATGAAAGAAATCAGATACAAAGAATACATATTGTATAATTCCCTTTATATGAAGTCTGAATATAGGCAAGAATAAACTATAGCTTTAGAAATTAGGGTAGTAGTTAATTTTGGGGATGGGAGAGGGTGCTGGTTTGAGCAGAGGCTTTCTGAACATTGGCAATGTTTCCTTTTTTAACCTGGTGGTGGTTGCATGAGTGTTTTATTTGAGATAACTTATTGAATTGTACATGAATGTTTTTACACTTTTCTGTATGAGAGTCATTTAGAAATTTTTTGAAAAAATATTATTTGGGCAGCTTGAGTTAGGTGATCCATAATGGTCAGTTGTCTGTAGCCAGATCAAAAGAGCCACGTGGTTCAGGACATCAGGGGTGAGAAGACAAGGAGATGTGTGGGAGGGAGAACAAGAAGAAAGTGATCTTTTCTCACAGGGAGTTTACCCAAAGAACAATGGGTCTTCTCTCCTCTCCCTCCCCCTCCCCAAACACACACACTTATATCTGCATTTCTCAAATAAGTTGGCTTGGCTTAGCTGGGTGCTTATTCAAAGTCATGGTTTTAGAGTCTTGGGAGGAACTCATGCTCCTCTTTTCTTCTCTTATTCTTTTTTTTTTCAATAGGCAATATTCTAATTGAGTAGTAATTCTACTAAATAAACACAGTCTAGAATAAAACCAAACAGAAACCAGACTAGAGTGAATGGTGGTCAATGTGTGGATCTGGCTCATTGGGAGAGCCTTAGTTTATTCCAGAGGAGGGAGGAGGATGAAATTCCTCAAGGACAGAGTGTAGGAGAAGAGAGGAGGGGCATGGAGCAGTGCCTTGGGGCCACTGTTAGCCTGTGGTCTTGAAAGATTCCCCAAGGGATGGACTGCAGTGGGGGAGACAAAAGGCAGGAGAGTGATCAGGGGTCCAGGGCCATCTCATGACCATGGGATGAGAAAGGATACGTGGGTACAAGAGGCAGGATGAAGGAAGACAGTATGTTTGGGCACCAGATTGCATGTCATGAGTGAAGGAGAAGGGGCAATTGAAAGGACACAAAGATATGGACACAAAGATACGGACCTACAGCGACTGAGAGCCTAGGCCTACCCCTGCCAGACAGGGGTGAGGAGAGGACTATGAGGAGGATCAGGGGTTCAGAGAGGAAGACATGAAGAAGGGGCAGGAAGGACAAGCAGAGAAAAGCTCTTTGCTGAGTTTCCCTTACAAATGGGGCAACATTGGGCAACAGCACTATTGATTCAGAGCCATTGCCCCCACCCCCTCAGCTTCCTCCTAATCCCTCACAAACACCAAAATGCTCCAGGGACTTCAAGTCTCTGTTCAAGAGGGTCAACCAGGTGGCCAAACTTTTAGAGTCTCTTCCCAAATGGATTTTTCTTGAAATTAATACTCTTTGGATAAAGACTTTGCTCAGGATCAAGATATGCTCGGTGGATCAAGAAAAGGGGGCACCTGTTCCCCTTCTTTGCCCCTCCTCTTTCTTTTTAAAAAAATTTAAATTCTTTATTGTTGAAAGTATCACACATGTCTCCTTTCCCCCATTGACCTCTCCCCGCCTGCTCCCGCCCTCCAGCACAGGCCCTCACCCACCTACTCTCTTTCTTTAAAAACAAACAAAAAAAGATTTTAAATTGATTTTCAGAGAGAGAGGAAGGGAGCGAGAGCGCGAGAGAAACATCGATGTGAAAGTGAAACATCAATCAGCTGCCTCCTACACACCCCCTACCGGGGATCAAACTGGCAACCTTTTGGTGTATGGGACGATACCCAGCCAACTGAGCCACACCGGCCAGTGAACACACAGGAACTTAAGGAGGAGTGGACAGGATGCCCTGGGTCAGTGTCCCAGCCTCATCCATGGAAATAGAGAAAGAGGGTGGCTCCTTGTTCCTCTGAGGACCCAGCTCAAGCTCCTTCTCATTGAAGACCACCTGACCTTCCCCCATAGGGAGCAGGCAGGGATGCGGAAGGCAGCAGAGCAGGCCCCCTCCCTGCCAGACTGCAGCCCCAGGGGAGTGGCAGCTAAAGGGGCCCAGGGCCAGTGCTTCCACCTGGGGGTTTCCCTGGGCAGGGACCTCATTCCTTCTGGGAAGAAATTTGCATGGCTGGCCCTGTGCCAGACACTCCACCATGCAGGGTGCCTTTGGCTGGCACCGTCCCGGAAGCCCCCTGGGCCATGCCTGCTGCACATTCTCATCTCAGTGGTGATTAGATGCCCATGGAGATCAGATTTCTGCCAGGGACGTGGAGTGCTACCCTGGCCAAGAGAACTGAAGTCTGGCAAATGGGAAACCTGGGATATGATTGGGGGGGGGGGGTAGGTGAAGAGGGGGAGGAGGAGGAAGAGAGCTGTCCAAGGAGATAGAAGCTCTTTGTCTCTATGGGTTCTTTGTAAATGGGGCAACATTTGGCAACTAGGCATATTAGTTAATAAAGCCACCGTTTTCCTGCCTGCTGCCCGTCAGCTGAGCTCTCTCCTGGTGGCACCCACTCCCCCCACCCACAGACACACCCAAAGACTGTCCAGCACCTTTGGCTCTATGCATGGGAGCCAATGTGAAGGCCTCGCTCTGGAAATCATGGTTATCACATTGGCCAGGAAGCAGGGAGCCCTCTGTCCATCTCTTCCTTATTCTTTTTCACTCTCTGCTCTCTCTTCAGGGTGGTCAGCAAAGGAATGATCAGAAACAATAGAGATCACTGGATAGGGGTCAGGGGTCAGGGGTCAGGGGTCAATGGCAGATCTCCTTTGTTCTACCTGGAGCTGGTTCTGCCCAGATCCCACACTTCCTTCCCAACTCCCCCTGGGGTTGGAAGCTAGAGGCCTCCATATCAGGCAGGGTGCGGGGCTTACTGCCCATCAGTTAGGAGGGCTTAGTGTGGGCCAGTCCTTGAGGGTCCCTGGGTGAATTTCAGGGGTGGAGAGGGAGTGGGGGAATTGAGTGACCATTCCTCACCTGCCTGTGAACCAGCTCCTGTCATTATGTGGTTGTTTGTAGCATGGCCACCTTCTCTGTACTCTGTATTTATACCATACCACTGTCTCAGCACTTGGAAACCTGTATTTACCTCCCTCAAAGCTCTTCAAGATCCGATCCAGCTCCTGCTTGTACACAGGCTCTGGGAAGCCTGGCCTAGCCAGCCCTGGCCTCACTGTTTTTCAAACTTGACACGTAGCAAGCAGGAGCCTTTGCTCACTTCCTGTCCCTCTTCCTCCTCACTCATTCATTTGTTCTACCAATATTGACCATCAAGTGCCCATCACACATACAGGGCTAGCTGGCCAGAGGACTTGAGGATGACCCAGAGGCTCTTCATTTGATGGGTCTGGTGGAAAGTGGTAGGAATATGAGAGAAGATGCAGGGCTGGAGGAAGTGGATGAGTCCTATTTTAGATGCATTGCATTTAGGTGCCCGTAGGACCTGCATGAGGAGCTGTCCAAGACAGAGATGGAGCTCAAAGTAGAGGAGATGATGTTAATCTTTCCAACAATAGTTTTAGGCCAGAAAGCTTAGCGTGACCTTTGGTTGTCCCTCATGCCCAGGTATGGGTCACTGGTCACTGAGTCTGTGCTCCAAGCCTTTGCTTGGCTATTTCCTCTGCCTGAATACTCTCTCTGTAGAAGCCCTACTCCTTCCTTCAGGCACCCAGGTCAAAGGCTCTTCTTCAAACTCTTCTGGAACCCTCATGATGGGAACTGGCTGGTCTTTCCTCCTCTGGGTCCCACCTGCCTTGCTTTTCCCAGGTGGCCTGATAGGAGTGTCTACCTGTGTCCCCTTGTGCCATGTGCTCCTGATGGCAAAGATGAACCCCTCTTCTGTGTCCCTCATGGCCCCCACCAATTCTGGCATGAACGAATGAATGAATGTTAATAATAGATGGTTTGAACTTCATTTTCTGGGCATACCTACCCTTACATCTGCTTCCTCTGCAGTTGGGCCTGGAGGGCTGTTCTGCATGTGTCTAGCTGAGCATATCCCTGGCCTGGGGCTGGGCCATTTCCTGCAGACACAGCAGAAAGAGTCTGCCCTGTTGCCAATCCCAGTCCTGCCTCCAGGGCACACCTTGAGTTCAGCCTCTTGGCTATGGCCCCGGGTGATCTGTGCTCCTGCCAATGCTGTGCCAGACATAAGAGAGTCTGGAAGCCTCTGACCTCCCAAACCATCCTTTTCCCAATTTTCACTCAGAGATAGAGACATGGGTTGCGACATTTCTTAATTCTTCTCTGATCATGGATTGGTAGAGTGGAGCTGCTAACAGGTACAAAAGTGCTTCAGCGTTACTGAGAATTAGCCAATTTTGTATTTCTTCACTATTTTTGAAAGAGTTTATTGCAATTATTGATGAAAGCCATCCTTAGTGTTGCGATACTGTGTTTCCAAACAGTGAGAGACCCTGGACCTGTCACCCCAAGCCCAGCTGGTGATTCCAGTGCCAAACCCCGGCCCCCCTCTGAGCCCGGAGAGCAGGATCCCTGATCAGACCCACGCTCTGTGGCAGGCTCCCCACCAGGGCGGAGGCCCCAAAGCTTCCTGGAGAGCCTCAAAGACTTGGGTGGGTCTGCGTCACAGTCAAGATGATCCACAAATGTTCACCCTGGGACCCCGGCTCTGTGTCCCGCCCTCTAGGAGGCACCGAGACCAGAGGGAGGACCAAACTCAGGGGCTGCGACTCCCCAGGGGAGTCATCAATCATCAGTGGGAGGCAGCACCAGGGCACACTTGCCAGGTGGCAGTGGGCTGGGCTTCCTCCTTCTCCTGGTGCCAAGCCCTGCCCAGGCATCTTTCCTTCTCCCTTGCCCCCCTTTGTCCCCTCCCCTCCTGGGTTTCTCAGTCTCCAGGAACTTGGTTAGGGGGTGGGGCAGCCAGGGGGCACCTATTGGGCCACAGGACAAACCCATGATGTCAGCAAGCCCTACATAAAGGGCTGCAGAGCAGGCGCAGGTGGCAGAGCCTTCGCTGGAGCCACCTCAGGACCCCAGGCATGAAGCTCATCTTCTCCGCCCTGCTGTCCCTCCTGGCCCTTGGTGAGTGCAGGGTCCTGGGGGCGAGCCCCACCGAGTGGGCATCCTGGTCTCTGTGCCCCATGAGGTGGGAGCCCCTGTCACTGTGCACCCCCAGGTGGGTGTCCTGGTCCCTGCGTCCTGCAGGGTTGGCACCCAGAGCCTGCAGTTGCCGGGGGTTCAGGGCTCCTTGGGGAGGAGCCGGAGCTAGCACTTCTGAACTGGTCCTGGGCAGCCTAGAGCTGCTCAGAGCTCCCCCAGTTCTATTCCAGCCTAGTGCAGTGTTGGGGGCCAGATGTAAGCTGGCAAGGTCCTTGCACCTGTAGGGGCTAGCAAGGCTGGGATTCTCACCCACACAGTTTTCCCAGACTTGTTTGGATGGCGTTTATCAGTAGAATAAGAGCAACATTTGTAGAATGAGAACAGCCTTTCATAGCTTACCAAGAAGTCTGTAATTATTTACTGAGATATGCTGTACTGAGAACTTGTCCTTCTGCTGTGTCCTTCCCTTAGAGATTAAGAGGAACAAAGAATACATTCCTCTTGATAGACCTCCTATTCAGTGTGTTATATATAAATAGTATTGTGTGGCTAATAAAGTTGCTTCAGTTCATCAAGAGAACTGGGGTCCTCCCGACCCCGCTTTCCTGTCTTTCTTTCTTTCTTTTCTCAATTCCCACCTCCCTGCCTCAGCCCGGCTCAACCCTGTCAGGCTGGCCCTGACAGTGCAGCCTCCTCCAGGAAGTCTGCTGGGAGTGGTCTTCCTGAACCCTGTCCCATTTTGTCCTACCAGGACCTTTGGTACCCAAGGTACTGTTACAGGCAGTTACATGGGAGGCAAATGAGACTCAGAGTGGATGAGTGACATGCCCAAGACACACAGCAGACCTGGGGCTCAAGATCCCAGCTCCTGCAAGGGCTGTGCTGACTTGGGCAAGGCAGAGCCTTTCTGAGCATCAGTTTCTTCATGTGAAGAATGGGCCAAACATCTTCCCACACAGCTGTGGGGGGCAGCAGCAGGGTGCCGCCTGCTCAGTGGCAGGCACCTCCCCCCATCCGGGGCAGGGGTGGTGGCCCAGACCTCCCGAGGAGACCTTTCTCAGAGGGCAGAGAGAGAGATTTCTGGTTTCAGATGTGCCCAGACTAGAAGGGACGACATAGAAGGGACGAAACAACTGTTAGCTCTGTACCTAAACATCTGAAGCAATTTCTGGGGTGTCTGAGGGCACAGGCCAGTGATGGACATTAGTAATGTCCTGTCTGAGGGGCAGGGCTTCCTCAGTGAAGGGGAGGCTCCAGGCAGCAGCAGAAAGGGCTGTGATGGGCAGCACTGAGGCTGTGAGTGGGGGCGGGTGGGGGGTCAGGGGGAAAGCCCCCCAGTTCCACGCCAGCCCAGTGCAGCCTCCTCTGGGACATCTGCTGGGAGGAGTAATTGGCAGCAGTGAACTTATGTCCCCAACCTAGGGAGCACGGTGCCCCCTGTCCCTGCCTTCTGGTCCCCTTCTCCACACTCCTTCCCATGAGTGCTAGGCATCCCTCTCTTCTCTAAGGCGGGATTGGGCCGGGCCAGGACCAGCTGCTCAGGGCCAACTCCCTTCTGCTCCCTGACCTGTGGCCTGCTGGGGGCCGACGGGGGAGGGGGGTGCCGGGGGGAGGGGGTGGTGCCCTGGAGAGGCCAAGAGGCAGGAAGCCCTGCTTTCCCGGATGTGGCCATGGGCCACAGGCCAGCTTTGGCTCAGAGTTGCACCCGTTGTCACTGGAATCTTCGGTTGTCTTGGCCCCTGAGCCCTGGGAGCCACAAGTCTCCTACACACCCTCCCTGGTGCCTCAAACACCTCGGGGCTGACTGTGCAGTGTTGGCTCATGAGTGGGGGAGGCAGAGGGCACATCCAAAGGGGAAGGGGCTTATGCAACCAGGTGTTTTTGTTTCTAACAGCTTTACTGGGTGCATTTTACATCGCATGAAATTCTCCTGTGTCAGTGATTGGTAGCAGTGCTACCAGGTGGGGGAACCATCACTGTGAACCCGATGAGAACATTTCTATCCCCTTCCTCATGACCATCCATCCTCATTACCACCCCGGCATCAGGCGGCCACTAGTCTACTTTCTGTTCCTATACATTTGCCTTTTATGGACGGTTCATACGAGTGGCATCATACAATAGGTGGTCTTCTGTGTCTGGAACCCTCCACCTAGCATAAACAAGGCACATTGATATTGTGCCCATCAGTTATTCCTTTTTTGTTTTTGTTTTTAAATATATTTTATTGATTTTTTACAGAGAGGAGGGGAGAGGGATAGAGAGTTAGAAACATCGATGAGAGAGAAACATCGATCAGCTGCCACCTGCACACCCCCTACTGGGTATGTGCCCGCAACCAAGGTACATGCCCTTGACCGGAATCGAACTTGGGACCCTTGAGTCCGCAGGCCGACGCTCTATCCACTGAGCCAAACCGGTTCAGACTCAGTCATTCCTTTTTATTGCCAATTCCATAGTATGGATGTGGACGTCCAGGTTGTTTTCACTTTTTGGCTCTTCTGAATAATGCTGCTTTGAATATTCATGCAGGAGTCTTTATGTGGACATCTGTTTTCATTTCTTTGGGGAATGTATCGGGCCAACACTCTAACCAACTGAGCTACCTGGCCAGGGACCTGGGTGGCTTGTAAGAGCTGTGAGCAAACCTGGTGCAGCCTTCTCCCCAGTTGCATAGATGGTAGCCACCAAGGCAGGCTGGGCAGGAGAAGCAGCCTCAATGGGGGCACCCCGACCCATTTGGTCCACCATTTACTGCAGCTACTGCCAAGGAGTCAGGTGTCTTGTCCTTAGCTCCCTGGGCATCCCCTGGGGAGATGCTTATAGACACGACACTCTAGAGCAGTGGTTCTCAACCTTCTGGCCCTTTAAATACAGTTCCTCATGTTGTGACCCAACCATAAAATTATTTTCGTTGCTACTTCATAACTGTAATGTTGCTACTGTTATGAATCGTAATGTGAATATCTGATATGCAGGATGGTCTTAGGCGACCCCTGTGAAAGGTTGAGAACCGCTGCTCTCGAGGGACCTGGATTCTAGGCTGGACTTGGCCGCTGCTGAGCAGCCAGCCACTCAGCCTCCTCAAGAGCCAGTTTCCACAGGAGGAGCAGGAAGCCCTTCCTGCCCACCTCACAAGTGCAGGTGGGACCAGGCAGGTGGGAGAACCCTATCCACGGACGCAAGGGATCATCATCACTTTTCTAGGGTGGGAAACGCGTCAGTCACAGGAAGGAAAGAACCCAGAGCTTCTGAAGGTCTCCTTGAGTTCACCGAGCACCAGCCCTCTCTCTGGCCAGGACAGCGAGCTTACTAGGCCAGAGAGGCCTCCACCGGAGGCGAGAGGCCTGTCTTAGAGGCAGCGTGGAGAGGGAAGGGGCGGAGCGGGAGAGATGGCAGAGTCTGGAAAAGTCCGTCGGAGGGTAAGGCAGTCTCTTCCGTGGGCAGTGGCTGAACCCTTATTCCTTGGCCTTTCTCCCAGGACTGTGTCTGGCCGCCCCTAGGAAGAGCGTTCGATGGTGCACCATCTCACCAGCCGAGACAACAAAATGCTTCGCGTTCCAGCGGAATATGAGAAGAGTGGGTGGGCCCTCCATCTCCTGCGTAAGGAAAACCTCCTACACGGACTGTATCCAGGCCATCGCGGTAAGTCAGCGCCATATGTTGGGTAAGACCAAATTAATGGAAGGGAAGGGGAGGAGAGGGGAGGGGAGGGGAGGGGAGGGAAGGGGAAGGAAGGAAAGGAAAGGGAGGGGAAGGGAAAAGCATGGGATAAAATGAAAAACTGTGCTCTCCCCTCCTCCCTCTGCTTTTCTTCCTGGGCGCTTGTCAGTGGGGCGCGGGCCTCTCTCATAGGACACGACACTATTTTGAATGCAGAGATCCACATTCTACAGTGGAGAGACCATGTGTGTGGGGAGCCTGGGATCTCAGCATAAATTGTTTCTGTGTCTCTTTTTTAATTAAAATGTACAAACCACTGTGAGGGGTGTGCTCACCAGAGCTATGCAGGGTGCGGCAAACGTAGGTTTACAGTTGTTCATATGGAAAAGAATCCAATAGTTAATAAATAATAACACAAGAATAAACTCTGTGTCTCATGTACTCACAACTGTAAACCTACGTTGGCCCCACCCTGTACCGGTGGGTGGGCACCTGAGAAAGAGGCAGCGTGCCAGCCTCAGGGGTTAAAGCAGTTGGGCTGGTGCCCGTTTGTCCCAAAAGAGGGCCTCTCGGCTCGTGCCACCTGACCCTTCGGAAGGTCCTTCCAGCCCCAGAACCTTGTGGCGTCCTGCGACCCACTTGCCTGCATGAGGGCGGGTTCGCTCCTGAAGCCGGTCTGGCCGCTTTGCTTTCAGGCAAACAAGGCGGATGCTGTGACCCTGGACGGCGGGCTGGTGTATGAGGCCGGCCTGGAACCCTACAAGCTGCGGCCTGTGGCAGCCGAGGTCTACGGGACGGAAGAGAGTGAGTTCCCCCTGGAACCCAGAGCTGGGGTGGCCGTGGCCTTGGCCCTGGGCTCTGTGGAGTCAGAGCGGATGAGTGGCCTCGGTGGGGCCTTGGACAGCATCACACTTGAAGGCACAGAGTCCCCGGGTGCTTGGGGCCAGAGGTGACCCATTGCGGGAGGACACCGGTTGCTCCCCGGGGGTCAGGGCAGGCTTTGGGTAGCTCTGCACCCGGAGAAACTGCAGCTCCAGGCGCCTTCCACCAGGGGCTCCTCTCCCTTGGGTCCTGGCCATGAGCATTCCATTCTCCCTGGCCCTTCGCAGAGCCCCAGACCCACTATTACGCTGTGGCCGTAGCGAAGAAGGGCAGCAACTTCCAGCTGAACCAGATGGGAGGCGTGAAGTCCTGCCACACGGGCCTGAACAGGTCTGCCGGCTGGAACATCCCCATGGGCGTGCTTCGTCCGTTCCTGAACTGGGAAGGCCCCCCCACGCCCCTTCAGGAAGGTGAGGTGGCTGGGGGCTGGGGGTGATCGCAGGCAGGGAGGGGTCTCTACACACACACAGCCACTTTGGGACCACACGGGTGAGTGTGCAGGTGACTCCAAGGTTAACCTGGCGGGCTCGCTGCCCCAGCTGCCCTGGGGAACTGGTGTCTGAACTCAGAACCTCACAACAGAGGCGACAGGTCCACAGGGGTGGAGGGAGGGGCTGCCCGTGAGGAGCACACGGGAGGGGAGGCTGGCTGTGGCCAGGGCTGCCTCCCACACTGGTCTGTTTCTCTGTGTCCACAGCCGCGGCCAACTTCTTCTCGGCCAGCTGTGTGCCCTGTGCGGACGGGAGACAGTACCCCAACCTGTGTCGCCTGTGCGCGGGGACAGGGCAGAACAAATGTGCCTGCTCCTCCCAGGAGCCCTACTTTGGCTACTCCGGTGCCTTCAAGTGAGTGAGACTCTCTCCTTCTCCCCAGTGGCCCTAGTGCCACAGGTCCTCAGGCCAGGAGGCCTTTTCTGTGGCCCCAGGTAGAGCTCAGCCTGCCATGGGGACCGGAGAGGAGGTGCAGTGCAGACAGAGAAACGGTGTACAAGGAGGGTGCTGACTTTGCCCAGCGCGTGCTCCCCTCACCCATACTCCAGCCGGGGAGCAAACAGTCCCTCAGCAGTGGCTGCCTGGTCTCTCCAGAGAACCGTGAATCTGGCTTTGACCTTGTGTTGTCCTGGGTTCCGCCTGCTGACTTATGTCCTCTCCCACGGACGGACGGGCGGGCTGAAGGGAGTGTTATGATGAGACAGCAGCCAGTCCCAGGCTCCCGGCTGGGCAGGATGGCGGGCTGTCCGGGCTGATGTTAGTCTATCTTACCTGGGCCCCCCCTGAACCCCCCACTCCCCAAAGCTTGGAGACAGCGAGCCCTGCCCGATGGACTCCCTGTGCCCTTCTGCCCCCATGCTGAGGCTGACACTGACAGTCCCCCCACCCTCCCTCCAGCCTCTGGGACTCAGGCAGTTTTGCAGAGGGAGGCCTCCCTGCCTCTCTACTGGCCAGGGCTCACTTGCCCACTCAGTCTTGGGAGAAAGAACCACATGGCCAAGGATACTGAGACTTTGTCCTCTGGTGTAGAGCCTTCAAACTTCTCTTTTATGTAGAAAGACAAGGTTTTGCCCTCTCGGTTAAGGCGAATGGTGGGGGCCTCTGGCCAGTACCTGAGTCCTTCCTCCTCAGATTCTACCTGGAAGGGGCCCCTGCTGCCTTCTCAGTCGGGGTGTCCCACAGCCCCCAAGCCCTGCCCTCGAGGAGCAGCACCCATGAAGAAAGCCCTGGTTTAGGGGCATGAGGAAGAAGCTGCTCCGGGCTGACCCTCCCGTGCCTTCTCATTTCACAGGTGTCTGAAAGATGGGACTGGAGATGTGGCTTTTGTCAAGGACAGTACACTGTTTGGTAAGAGCAGAGAGGAGCTACGGTGCTGCCTCCTTTTCTTTTATCTTATCACTAGAGGCCCAGTGCATGAAATTTGTGCATGGGCAGGGTCCCTAGGCCTGGCCTGCAATCAGGGTGATCAGGTTCCCTGCCTCCTGCGCCCCCCCCCTTCTTTTCCTCGCTCCCTCAGTGCCCCGCTGCTGCTGGTCGCCTGCCATGTTCTGCGTCACCCCCTTGGGGTCAGCGCACATCATAACTAGCAATAGAACTCCCGGTCTCCCGGTTGAACTCCCGAGGGGACACTTTGCATATTAGCCTTTTATATATATAGATAATTCTAAACACTAAGCTAATTAGATTCCTCAATTCCTGGCACACTGTTTTTTTTAAAATATATATATTTTTATTGATTTCAGGGAGGAAGGGAGAGGGCGAGAGAAAGAGAAACATCAATGATGGGAGAGAATCATTGACCGGCTGCCTCCTGCATACCCCACACTGGGGATTGAGTCCGCAATCTGGGCATGTGCCCTGACCTGGAATTGATTGTGACCTCCTGGTTCATAGGTCCACGCTCAACCACTGAGCCACATTGGCTGGGCTCATGGCACACTCTTATTAAGGTTCCCCACAGGGCACAGCTCTTATTTTATGCAATTTCATAGTTTATACAATCAGTTTTCTTTAGATCGGTGTCTACTGCATTTCTCTTCCCCTCACTCAGTCCATGCCAAGGAGCTTGATACGTGCCCTCCCAGATGTACGTGGTCTTGTAAATGTCCAGGGCCCGTTTGGGTTCCTGGGTTCTAAGCTCACAGACGTTTTATTAAGCACAAGAACCCTCATTGCTGAGCATTAGAAGTCATGCTGCTGCCAAGGTTTCCCATCTAGCACTTTGGTCTAGACATTTCTCTCTGCTGTTGTACAAATGCCTAGTTTAATGGTTCTAACTGCTGGTGGATGCTCCATGGAACCCGTCCACCAGGGCTTCTTATCTATCACCTTAGTGATGGCCTGGGTCATCCTGTCCTTCCCTTTACCACAGAGAGCTCCGCGACTCATTCCTTTATGTGTGTCCTCTTACTGTCTTGTTAGAGAGTGCCCTGAGGGAGCACACACTGAAGCACAGTAGCTGGGTATGCACAAATGACACATTGTACCCAGAAACACTGGGGACAGACCCATGACATTCTCTCCAAGATCTGAGATAGACACACTACACTCACTCAGGACCTCAGGAGACAGGCCCGTCACACTCACTCATGACCTCAGGACCTTAGGAAACAGGCCCACCACACTCACCCAGGACTTCCAGACACAGGCCCACCACACTCACCCAGGACCTCCAGAGACAGTCCCACCACACTCACCCAGGACCTCCAGAGACAGTCCCACCACACTCACCCAGGACCTCCAGACACAGGCCCATCACACTCACCCAGGACTTCCAGACACAGGCCCATCACATTCACCCAGGACCTCCCCAGACACAGGCCCATCACACTCACCCAGGACCTCAGGACCTCAGGAGACAGGCCTGTCACACTCACCCAGGACCTCCAGACACAGGCCCACCACACTCACCCAGGACCTCCAGAAACAGTCCCACCACACTTACCCAGGACCTCCAGACACAGGCCCACCACACTCACCCAGGACCTCCAGACACAGGCCCACCACACTCACCCAGGACCTCCAGACACAGGCCCACCATATTCCATCCATTTTTATTCTTTCTAGGGATGTGGGTGAGGCAGCACCCCCTGGCTGGTCCCTTGGTTTGTCTCCATCACATGACCCTTTTCTAGGTGGGGTTGCCATGGAAACAGATGATGTCTGGCTCAGCTTCCTTGGTTCACCAGCACCAGCACAGCCCATATGATCCACTCAGAGCATCACTGGGCCGAGCCCTAAGGCTCGCTGGGCACTGTCTACCTTTCTGAGTGTTCTAGACTCTAGAACAGCCATGGGCAAACTACGGCCCGTGGGCCGGATCCAGCCCGTTTGAAATGAATAAAACTAAAAAAAAAAAAAAGACCGTACCCTTTTATGTAATGATGTTTACTTTGAATTTATATTAGTTCACACAAACACTCCATCCATGCTTTTGTTCCGGCCCTCCGGTCCAGTTTAAGAACCCATTGTGGCCCTCGAGTCAAAAAGTTTGCCCACCCCTGCTCTAGAATCTAGAGCAATCCACTGTCTTTTTTCAGAACCCCCAATTTTGTCAACTGTGTAAAATATCTCTTCCAGCTCAAATTCCATGGGGGGAGAGGAATTGGGGCTCATGATTCTGCCTGGAGTAGGCTCCTCTGGGTCCTCCAACCCCCTCCTCTCCTCTTTTCCCCAGAGAACCTGCCAGACAAGGCTGAGAGAGACCAGTATGAGCTGCTCTGCCTAGACAATACTCGGAAGTCAGTGGATGACTTCAAGGAGTGCCACCTGGCCCAGGTTCCTTCTCATGCTGTTGTGGCCCGAAGTGAGGATGGCAAGGAGGACTTGATCTGGAGGCTTCTCAACAAGGCACAGGTATCCACACTCCTGCTGGGATTTGATGCCAGAGGTTCCTTCCTCCCCTAACTTCCTGCCCTTCTAGAAGCCCCTCTGTAGCCTCACTGGCCAGGCGTGTCCAGTGGGCTGCCCTCTGGACAGCAGCAGCTACGAAGCCCCTCCAGCACTACTGACCAACAGTGTCTCATGGGCTGGGGCAAAGCTGGGAGGACAATGCAACATTCTCAGGACCCCAAGGTGCTTGGACCCCAGCAACACCCTAAAGAATAAGCCGTGACTGAGCTACGTCACAGAAATGGCTTGACCCCTTACAGGAGGAAGGCAACCAAGCTTCCTGCTCTCAGAATCACCCCTAAGTTCCAGATACTCTTTTTCACCGTTGTGGTTTTGTTTCTTTCTTATTTACTGTGACATCAGCAATTCTATGTTGTCCTTAACTAGGAGAAGTTTGGAAAAGGCAAATCGTCGGCATTCCAGCTCTTCAGCTCCCCTCGTGGGCAGAAGGACCTGCTGTTCAAAGATAATGCGCTTGGGTTTTTGAGGATCCCCCCGAAGATAGACGCTGGGCTGTACCTCGGTTCCAACTATATCACTGCCCTCAAGGGCCTGAAGGAAAGTGAGTGAGGGCTGGCTGGTGCGGGTGGGGAGCCACAGCTGAGTCCCTGGGGAGAGCACCTCACACCCCCTGGAGTGGTCACTGCCCCATGTCCCAGGTCTCCGCCGTGGTAGGTTTGATGCAGGTGCGAGTCTCTCTGCCAACCAAGTGCGAGCGTTTCAATGTGTGGGAGTGACTCCGAAAGAACGTGTCAGCCCGTGATTAATGCTGCCACGTGTCCCTGTGCACGTCAGCCTCCCCAGCCCTGACAGAAAGTCAGTCTGCCTCCTATGGGGTGAGCAAACTGAACACGGGCCAAGAGAGCCGGGCCCCCCTGGGGTGAAGCCGGAGGCCTGGTGCACACTGCCCTGTGCCTGGGCTCTGGGCCTGGCTGGGGAGACCACAGTGGGCCCGCTCAGTCGTGGTTCTTCCCCCACTGGGGGGCTTGGCGTGGAGTGTGGGTGAACCCAGAGTTGACTGCCAGCCTTAAGCGAGGTAGAGCTGGGTTCAGGGTCCCCTAGGCCATCTCTGGGGAGCTGTCCCTGTCTCTGAGTTCTGGAGCTTTTATCCTTTGGGACTGAGATATTAGGCAAGTCGTTACACTAAGGAGTGAAGGGTGGATTAGAAGCCAGGAGAGGAATGGGACCGAGAAACAAGGTGAGGAGGGAACCGCCGGGAAGGGGCTGGGCGCTGACAGTGGAGGGGGCGAGGCAGATGCCCGGAGACTCTTCCATCTGGAAGTAGGATTGGTCCGCACCCACGGGAAGGCCAAGCAGGAAGGGTGCTCAGAGTGGAGCCCGGGCCCCAGGGAGGTTGGCAGCGTGGGGTGTCCTTGGCCAGGCTCAGGGCCCCTGTTGATGCTGTGTCCCTCCGGGCAGCGTCCGCGGAGGTGGAGGCGCGGCGCGCACGGGTCGTGTGGTGTGCGGTGGGCCCCGAGGAGCAGCGCAAGTGCCAGCAGTGGAGCAGCCAGAGCAATGGGACAGTGGCCTGTGCCACCACCGCCACCACCGAGGACTGCATCGCCCTGGTCCTGGTAAGGCTGCTGCTGTGGGAGCCTGTGTGGCCTGCGGGTGGGGCAGCGGGCTCCGGAGGATTCCCCAGGTCCTGGACATCTGCTTAGAAGTGATTGGGCGCTAAGAGGCACTGTGGTGAGGGTAGGCAGGGGGGACCCGGGGCGGGGGTCTCCTCCAGCCCAGCACACAGCGTGCAAACAGGCACAGCTTTCTGTCAGAAAACTGTATATTGTGGGGTTGCCACTCTTCTGATGATAAGAACAATGCACAATCATTGCAGGTAGTTTGGAAAAGATGGAAAGGTGTGATGTAAAATAATTAAAGAGAAACCAGCTGTGACTCACACAGAGAGACACCACCGCTGAAGTTGGGGTGCTATCCCACCCAGGACTTCCGGGGGCCCCGATGCCTGGGCTGGCCACAGCACCGGCTCATATCTGTCAGGTGCTACTTGCGTCCTGTTCACTTAATGGTATATCACAGCCACATCACGTGAATATATAGTCTTTGAAAACACTTCTGAAAGAAATGACTTCAAGGTATCTCTTATGGGGATGTGGCCTGGTCGTGACCCTATTCCTCTTTGTCCCCTTATTTTGTTGTTACAATAACCCTGTGATGCCTTTCCTTGAATAGAAATCTTCATACACGTCTCCAGTTACTTTTTTTAAAATTTTTAAAAAATATATTGATTTTTTACAGAGAGGAAGGGAGAGGGATAGAGAGTTAGAAACATCGATCAGCTGCCTCCTGCACACCCCCTACTGGGGATGTGCCCACAACCAAGGTACATGCCCTTGACCGGAATCGAACCTGGGATCCTTGAGTCCGCAGGCTGACGCTCTATCCACTGAGCCAAACCGGTTAGGGCTCCAGTTACTTTTAATATTGTCGCAAGCAAATTATTACTGGGCCAAAGAGGGCGCGTGGGACCCTGATGACTCCCTGTTCCCGCGCACATTCCTCCTCCCGGGAGCCAATGTAATTAGAAATCGCAGCTCATTTGTCCATCAACTTCGGTGCAGCCCTTGGCGTGTAGTCAGCTGGTCCCATCTGTCTCCTGAGGGAGTGAGGCTGTGCAGGAGGGTGTCCCAAGGGCACTCCAGGGCACAGAGGGCTTGTTCAGGGGACGGAGGGCGAGTGCGGCCGGTGCAGGCTCTTTCTAGTGGAAGTGACAGCAGGAAAGGCCGGTGGCTGGCTGAGGATTAGCAGTGCTCACGGCGTGCCCTTTGGGTGCTCGGTTCAAACACTCCCGCCTCTTTCTGCTGCTTTCCTGGGACAGCTGCCATCAAGCCGTTCTCTCTGAGAGCAGTCCAGCCAGGAGGGACACGAGTGGCCTCGCCCTGATGCCGCAGAGTTGCTTGTCTTTGCAGAAAGGAGAAGCTGATGCCCTGAGCTTGGACGGAGGATTCATCTACATCGCGGGCAAATGCGGTTTGGTGCCTGTGCTGGCAGAGAGCCAAAGTAAGTGTGTGTGTGTGGGGGTGTCCTCTCTGGTTTATTCCCCCTGAGCCATGGGCTGGGGGAGTGGAGGAGCCACCCCACTCTGTGGGTCCAGGTGGAGGCACTGAGAAGGACGGATACATTCAAACAGGAGAATCAGGGAAAGAGTGAACACAAGGGCTGTGTTCTCCACAGAGCCAAGGTTCCTCTTCGTAATTCAAAAAATGACAATGTGGCCCAGGAATTCCCCCGTGGGGTCAAAAGGTGCCTAAGTATAAGTTGAGTGTCGACCTATGAACCAGGAGGTCATGGTTCAATTCCCAGTCAGGGCACATGCCTGGGTTTTGGGCTGGATCCCCAGTAAGGGGGGTGCGGGAGGCAGCCAATCCATGATTCTCTCATCATTAATGTTTTTCTCTCTCTCTCCCTCTCCCTTCCTCTCTGAAATCTATTAAAAAATTAGTTTAATGTATTTTAATAGCAAACTTACAGGAACATCACAGAAAAGAGACAACATTAAAAACATGTACTTACATGTAGGGCAATCAGTCAGAAAGTATAGTGAATGGATGGGATCTACTGCGTGATTCCGTTAGTTGCCATCAGTAAGAAATGGACTTGTTTAAAAAAAATCCAAATGCTGGCATTGTCCAGAAAAATTTAACAGGCTTATTTATATTGTTATAAAGTTGAACTGCTGAAACTTGTTTACTGAAGCATTTTTACATGCATTAATGCTTTATGTCCCGACTTTATATTTAAGAAATTTGCACATAAATGAAAATAGAAAAACGGCAATACCTAATTTCTGTCCCCTCTTTTCCACTTGCAGTATTTTACTTAGGTACCTTTTGACCCCATGGGGGAATGGCAGAGAATGTAACATTCAAAACTACCAATAACAGGAAAAAGAGAAAATTTTTTTAAAGAATGAAATTTTTTTTATCATAGCATATTCTTTTGTTTTGTTTTGTTTTGTTAATCCTCACCCAAGGATATTTTTCCATTTACTTTTAGAGAGAGTGGAAGGGAGAGAGAGACAGAGAGAAACATCAATGTGAGAAAGACACATCGATTGGTTGTCTCCTGTACCCTCCATGGCTAGGGAACCTGCAACCAAAGTATGTGCCCTTGACTGGAATTGAACCCGGGACCCTTTAGTCTGCTCCACTGAGCCAAACCGGCTAGGGCCATAGCATATCCTCTTCGTATGTGGTGTGCTAGGATGGATGTCTTTTGGCACATGGATAGCACACAGGTTGGTGTCTTCAAAAAGCCCAACCAGGTAGACCTCATGCCTCCTGCAGAGCACCAACAGCTGCACCCTGGGAGCACAGATCTGGTTTGAAGTCCTGAGCAATTTCTTCTGATAACGTCCAATTGCACTCAGCGTTGGGGGACCAGGCCTGTAACGTTGCAGTTTCTTCACCACACCAGTAGAGGGTGCACTCTCACTAGCAGCTTTGGTAGCCAGTTGCTTCCTAGGTGCTTTACCACCAGTGGATTTGCAGGCAGTCTGCTTTTTATGAGCTGTGGTATAGAGACCTCTTCACTTACCCACTTCTCCTTCGGCTGGAGCTGGCACTGGCCTTAGAGAGCAACGTTTTTGGAAATATTTCAGGAAAGTATAATATGCATACAGAAAAGTGCACATAAGCGTACAACTCCATGGCATTTCACACTGGTGCATCCCCCGGCACTAGTGTCCAGATCAAGACACAGCAAGTTTCACAAGTTCCTGTGTGCCCTCCTGTCACCAGCCTCTTACTCCAGCAAGGGTATCGACTCCTGACCTCCCAGGGCACGGATCAGTTCTGTTTATTTTTGAACTTTATGTAAAAGGAGCTGCACAGCGCATGCTGCTTTATCTCTTGCTCAGTGTTATACTTGTGCTGTTCCTCCTTGTGGTGCGTGGTGTGGACTATTCAGTCTTGCATGGTAGTCTATTGTGTGGCGCTACCGCTGTTATTTATCCATCTGGGTCATTCCCAGTCGGTGGCGCCTGTGAATAGCGCTGCTTGGGAACATCCGAGTTTGTGTCTGTGGTGAACACATGGATGCAGCTCTGCTGCCTGGAGCCACTGGGACAGTCTTCAAATTCAAGTCTGCACTGTTGAGATTTAAAAGTTTGCGACTTCTCAGTAAATCGGAGCGTTTCATGACGTTTTTGCTTATCTTTCTTCTTTCAGAATCCGAAGAGAGCGGTAACTCGGATTGTGTGAATAGACCAGTGGAAGGTGAGTTGGAATTGGTTATTTTCAGGGTCAAGGGTAAGTTCTTGTTGCTGGAGGAAGAGGTGGCAGGAACTTTAAAAAACTCACAGAAAGAAACACAGCCAAAGTTCTTGTGAAGATGCAAGTAATTCGTAGACAATTACAACGGATGTTAGATTGACCTTTGCACTTGGCAGAGAACTTGCAGAGTTTCTCATTGCGTCCTGGCCACGTGGGAGGTGAGGTGTTCCATCTCCATCTCCTATGGATGAGGAACAGTGGATCAGAGAGTCTCCTGATCTCACTCACAGGCCTAGACATTGATGCTGTGGCAGCTCCCGTCCCTTGTGCTAATGCCCTGCTCTGCACACCAGCCCCACCTGCCCGCCCAGAGCTGGTGCTGGCTCAGCTTCGGAGGAGCTGTGCGCTGCCCACAGTGGGAGTCTGTCAGGTGCACCCTGGCAGGAGGAGGACTGACAGCACAGGACTCAGCACAGGGCGGTCCAGACACCACTTAACCTGATGGCCGCCATCGCTCTGGCCCAGTGCATATTGCAGTTGGTGATTTATGCACCATTGGGGTCACGCTAGACCAGTGGTTCTCAACCTTCTGGCCCTTTAAATACAGTTCCTCATGTTGTGACCCAACCATAACTTTATTTTCGTTGCTACTTCATAACTGTAATGTTGCTACTGTTATGAATCGTAATGTAAATATCTGATATGCAGGATGGTCTTAGGCGACCCCTGTGAAAGGGTCGTTCAACCGCCAAAGGGGTCGAGACCCACAGGTTGAGAACCGCTGTGCTAGACGTTCAGTGTTTGTTGCTTTAGTAGCTCACATTTAAAGGTGAGTTTCTGGTTTATAACTCAGGGACAGGGTGTGGCTGGTCAAGGATGTCCCCAGCAATCACGGAAAGAATCAGCTTTTCTTACTGTCTCATTTCATAGCCCAAAGGACAGCAGCGTAAGCCTTTGTGGTCCACCTAACAATGCGGTACCTGTGGGGGAGGGGGAGGAAGCATTGCTGATGAAGCTTCTTGACCAGCTTCGGTCTGAGGTGCAGACAGCTGCACCAGCGTCCATCTGCCAGGCCCCTGGAGATGAAGACTTGCTCTTCTGTCGTCCAAGGGTATCGAGCCGTGGCGGTTGTCAAGAAATCAAATGCTGGCTTCACCTGGAATTCTCTGAGAGGCAAGAAGTCCTGCCACACCGCCGTGGGCAGGACTGCAGGCTGGAACATCCCCATGGGTCTGCTCTTCAACCAGACAGGCTCCTGCAAATTTGGTAAGGAGCCCGGAGGGAGGAGGGCGGGCCACCCTGGGGTGGGCGTGGAAGGTTCCACAGGAACCTCAGGGAAGGAGGGGGTGTGGATTGGCAGGCCCACAGCCTGTATGGGTGTCAGCAAGTTCTCCGCGTGGCTGCCTCGCAGTCCAGATGTGTTGAATGGTTCTCTGCACATCTGCCCTGCCCACCCCACTCCGAGGTAACTCACTGGACTCTCAGTCCGTTTCTCTGCACATGGCCAAGTTCATCAGTGCAGTCCCCAGCTCAAGGCTTGGCCATGGGACCCTCTGTGGGTCCCATCAGAGACTCCTCCCCAGCCCCAGGCCGATTTCCTGCCAATGCCTGCAGTCCAAAGCCTTTCCCGATTTCCGGTGGGCCCCGGATTGGTGGTGACACGTCACTGCTTGTGACAGTGGCTGTGTTCTCTCTGTCCTGGGCACTAGAATGAGCCTGACCCAGGCTGCATCCTCTGCTAGGTGAAGGCGTGGGGGTGAAGTCAGGTAGGAAGAGCTGACTTCCCATGTGCCTTTCCCACAGATGAATTCTTCAGTCAGAGCTGTGCCCCCGGGTCCGACCCGAACTCCAACCTCTGCGCGCTGTGTATTGGCAACGAAGCGGGCCAGAACAAGTGTGCCCCCAATAGCAATGAGAGATACTACAGCTACACTGGGGCTTTCCGGTGAGTGCCCCAGGAGAGGGCCTGTGCCTCATCCTCCAGCATCTTGGCACTGCGTTCTCAGGGGCCAGATGTGGCCTGTCACAGCAGAGCCAGGGGCTACCTTGGGGGTCTGCTGATGGGCTCTTCCCCCCACACTCACCACCCCGGACGTGGGGGCTGGCACTGGGCAGTCTGACCTCAGCTCTGCTGGGCTCCTCCTTGTGGCCTGGAGCCAAAGTCAACCTCAGGCGCCCTCAATGGCCTCATCCTCAAAGTCAAATGGATAGAGCCTGTGGGACCTTAAGTCCTATCTACAGTTCGAATTTATGGGGAAGAATCATTTTTCACAGCCACCACTCTCTCCCCGACGCTAGATCCTCATGCTTCCCATCTCACTTTTCTCTTTGATTTTGGCCTGAGAGATGGCAGAGAGAAAAAGTAGCATTGCAGGGCTATTCTCCACTAGTTAAGTGGAAAATAACAAAAAAAAAAAGTTTTTCAGAATGATAACCATGTAGTTATTTACAGTGATGATCCACAACCCACCTCTGCAATCCCATTCATGAGGATTCTCAGTGGCACTTACTACATGAGGGGTTTGGATGGCCCAGTCCTTCTCTCCATTTTCCAATAATATATTTCACCAGCAGGTGGCATCATGCATCTGCGAGCAACATGGGTCAAAGGGTGGTCTTGGAACTTTTTAGGATAAATTCAGTAGCCTTCTCTCCAGGGATGGGAAGATATAAAAGTAGCTTTTACTATATTGTCTCCATACCCTTCGGGTGTGATTGCATTGGTCTCCATATCTCCTGACATTTCTCCAAGTCTGCAGTGCTCTCTGGCAGCTTGTCCGTATTTAAAGAGAGAAGCACCAGAGCTGACTGTTAGCTCTGCATCAGCTGCCACATCTTGGCGAGTATGGGCCTCACTGTTGGTTTGTGTCATTTCACTGTGGGACATCTAAGTATCAGATCCTATAGGCATCTTCTTTGAGTTGATCAGATTTTCCTTGGGAGCCTGGGAGAGGAAGCGGCTATGAATGAACCTTCCAAGATATAGTTTTCACTCCATTCCATGATTTCAGCATTGGGCCTCTGCCCTCAACTGGGTTTGGTTCTCTAGTCCATAGTGTTGTTCAGGTTCAATCTCCCTGGTGAACAAACCTTCAGTCTCCTGCCAGGGCGAGGAGGAGCTGCACGGGCTAGGAGGGCGCCTACCCTGCACCTATGTCGGCTCTCTCCACTCTTGTTCTCAGTCCCTTTCAATGGTGTTTCTAGTTGTCGAGCCTTTCTGGAGTTCACCATGCACATCAGCTTTTTTTCTGGGCTTCCCCCACTTCCAACTTATGTTACAGCTGTTTATTGCTCTGCTGGGTCAATTACTGCTCACCCACTTGCTCTCTAACTTCCAAATGTTGTCATTATCTTCTCTCTTTCTCTCCTTGTGCTCCTCTCTCCTGTCAGCTTAAAACTTTTAAAAAATCTCATAAATATCATTTTATTGGGACTTTAGGAGGTGGGAAGCTATACATATGTGTTCAATCTTCTATTTTAAACCTAAAGTTCCTGGAAATATTTTGTCTTTATCTTTCCTATGTTTACTTCAATGTTTCAAAATGTATATTGCAAATATTTATGAAAACTCTGATAGTTTCTCTTCTCCGGCACTGAGTTTCTTTTCTGGACCATGTTAGGTGCCTGGCGGAGAATGCAGGAGACGTTGCATTTGTGAAAGATGCCACTGTCCTGGAGAACACGAACGGTAAGCGGAGTTTCCCTTTCCCCTTCGGAGCAGAGTCTCTGGCATCACAGCGCCTCCTACTGGTCATATTTGCAGCTGGGAAGATGTACAGGTTTCCAGACTTAAGTTAACTTGGAAATTTTTTACTTTGGTAATGTCTATAGGTGTCACATTGATTTTTTAAAATATATTTTATTGTTTTACAGAGAGGAAGGGAGAGGGATAGAGAGTTAGAAACATCGATGAGAGAGAAACATCCATTAGCTGCCTGCACATCCCCGAAACCAAGGTACACGCCCTTAACCGGAATTGAACCTGGGACCCTTGAGTCAGCAGGCTGACACTCTATCTACTGAGCCAAATCGGTTAGGGCATGTCACATTGATTTTAACCTCCCACACCTCTCTCTCTCTCTCTCTCTTTCTCTCTCTCTCTCTCTCTCTCTCTCTCTCTCTCTCTCTCTCTCTCACACACACACACACACACACACACACCAGCAATGCTCAGTAGCAAATGTCTCCTGGCTTTCTCTAGACATCCACAGAAACACACCATCTGCCTGTCCCAGCCTGTGGGAGACTGAATGTGGATGATACTACAAAAAACAAAACAAAAATCAAACATATGCAAATGAAACTTCCCTTCATACAAGGAAGTAGGGACCTTCATTCAGCCCCATGTGAGTCACTGTCTGGAAACTCCTTGGGAGTAAATGGGGACAAAAATCACAGGCAGATGCAGATGCCAGAGGATAGTCTATCAGATGACGTTGAATAATCACTCTCCTGACCTCTAGATGAAAAGCATAATGACCAAATTCCAGACTCCAGAGTGCACCCCTCTCCTCAGTCCCACTCAGCTTCCCCACCCCTCCTGCTCAGCAGGTGCCTTCCCATTTCGTCCCCTGAGAAAGAATGGCCCCAGCTTTCTGCCCTCCTCCTTCAAAGACATCAACAGTCACAGCCGCTCCTTCCTCCTCACATCCCTTGGGAGAGGGGCCAAGGCCAGACATGTAAACTTAGAATGACCCAATATCAAATGGACAAACACAAGAGAATGGATGGAGTGTTTTCTTGAGGGGGGATGGCAGGAGAGTAGCAGAGGCCTGAACATGAACCCACACTTGCATGCACACAGACATGCATGCGATTCCATTTAGAATTTATGAACCATTCATCTAAGTGGTCTCCAGGGATCAGATGTCAGGTTTAATTTTAAACTTCTGTAGGATTTTACAACTGTATTTTATTGGGACTGACCAAATATATTTGAGAAACCCTTAGACATTCCTTCTTTTCTCAGGCTACACTAAGAGCGTCTGAATATGAAAGGAAAGAGGAAACAATTTGTTCTTGAACATAAACCAGCTATTCTTTTTCTGGAACTCACTGGAAAATATGGCACGGATAGAGGGTTTTCTTCTTAGAAACTAAAAAAAAAAATTTAACAACTTTGCCCAGCCAGCATGGCTCAGTGGTTGAGTGTTGACCTATGAACCAGTAGATCACGGTTTGATTCCCAGTCAGGGCACATGCCTGGTTGCAGGCTCGATCCCCAGTAGGGGACATGCAGGAGGCAGCCATTGATGATTCTCTCTCATCATTAATATTTCTTTCTCTCTCTCCTTTTCCCTTCCCTCTCTGAAATCAATAAACAATATTTTAAAACATTTAACAGCTTTATTGACATACAATTCACATACTATAAACCCACCTGTTCAGAGTGGACAGTTCAGTGGTCTCCAGTGCAGTCACTTCCCCTCTCTCTCTCAGAGCTGGCAGCACCCATCCACGTTGTCTCCCTATATTGGCCTATTCTGGACATTTCACATAAATTTCATCCTACAATAAATGGCCTTTTGTATGTTGTGATGTGTATCAGTACTACCCTTCTTTTCATGACTGACTTCTATTTCATTGTATGGACACAGCATTAATACGTGTTTGACAACGCTTTCTTCTCTCTCCTTCACATCACCACAAGCCCAGTGGGTGCATTTCAAGAGGCCAGTGGATGGTGACACCCACCCAGAAGGCCCCTTGGACTGATGCCACCTTCTTCTTTCCCCAGGAAAGGGCACTGAGGATTGGGCTAAGGATTTGAGGCTGGAGGACTTCGAGCTCTTGTGCCTCAATGGCTCCCGGAAGCCTGTGACTGAGGCTAAGAACTGCTACCTGGCCAAGGCCCCAAATCATGCTGTGGTATCTCGGAGAGATAAGGTGGAGCACCTGGAGCAGGTGCTGCTCGACCAGCAGGTATGCACTACCAGGGCCCCCTACCCTTTCTCAGCTGCATGGGCTCTGTCAGGTGGGCAACCGCAGAGCTGGGTCAACCAGCCCATGCCAAGCCTTTCTCTCCAGTCCCCCTGCCTGAAGCTGGTGAGAGTATTTGCTTCAGGCCACGGGGCTGCCCAGAGTCTCCATGAAAACTGTCCCGGGATTTCTAGGACTGACCTAACTTCTGCTCTCAGTCTCCTGCCCCTGGCCTTGAGCTTACTGCCCGCCCAGCTCAGTCCCTTCTTTAGTTCTTCAGGCAAAGACGGTGGCTGAGCCTTCCTCCCACAACTAGGTAGAGTGGCTTACTCAACGCTCCCCAAGTCTGGGCCAACTGAGCAATGTCTAGACAAGGCCACTGCATTTGTCATCTCCAAAAGCAGCTCACCCAGAACTTCGGTAGCCTTGAGGCCGTTCTGAGAGTGGTGTGAAGGACATTCTACCACTTCCTTACAGTCTGCCATCTCTATTAGAACTCCTAGTTTTATATTAAAACATCGTGCCCAGCCAGTGTGGCTCAGTGGTTGAGTGTCGACCTATAAACCAGGAGGTCATGGTTTGATTCCAGGTGAGGGCCCATGGCCAGGTTGCAGGCTCAATCCCCAGTGGGAAGTGTGCAGAGGCAGCCAATCTATGATTCTCTCTCATTGTTGATGTTTCTATCTCCCTCTCCCTCTCCCTTTCTCTCTAAAATCAATAAAACAACAACAACAAACAAACAAACAAAAAACCCATCACATCTCCAGGTGCACTTTAAAGATAGGGGCCTTGAAATGGTACCCATAGGCATAATAAGAGGCATTATGGAGCCCTCATGGTGGCGTCCGCACTGGTGCTGGTAAGAGGTCTGCTGTCGATGAGGTGCTTGGTATCCCAGCTCAGCCCTGCGGGAGGTCTGGGCGTGGAGGAGGAACTGTGGCCCAGGGAGGCCAAGTACCCTGCGAAGGCAATGGCCTGTGGGGGGCAGATGATGTCCAGTGCAGACTGCCTCTCCGGGTGAGCTGGCCAGTTAGAAGGCTGCTGGGGACCGACATTTGGGGCAGATCTCCCAAACCCTCAGCTGTCACTTAGTCACCCCTAACAAGTTCTAGGGAAAGAGGCCACAGATTAGGAAGGAAGGAGAGGTGGCAGGAGGTGAGATCAGAGAGGTCGAAGGCCTGGGAGCTGCCCTGGATGGGTCTGCCACCTGGGACCTGGGCAGCAGGAGGACGTGGGGCAGGAACGAGTCCAGAACTGAGCTCCTTTTGGCCATGTTTGTCCCAGGGCTGATCCTGGCGGGAAGGGTGTCCTTGGTCTCCCTAATGCAGATACTCGCCCGCTGTCCTCGGCTCCTCACGTGCTGTCTGCCCTTTGACACAGGCTAGGTTTGGAAGAAAGGGACGTGATTGCCCAGGCACGTTTTGCTTGTTCCAGTCGGAAACCAAAAACCTTCTTTTCAATGACAACACCGAGTGTCTGGCCAACCTCCAAGGCAAAACGACATATGAGGAATATTTGGGAGCGGAGTACGTCACGGCCGTTGGGAATCTGAGACAATGCTCCACCTCCCGTAAGTGCACTGTCGGTGACATCTCCCAGAAACCATGGGGGAAGGTCAAGGTTGGCGGGCCAACAAGGACCCTCGGAGGGAAGATGGGTATAAAAATGTTAGGGCAACAGAATGCCTCTATGCCTCAGCAAGTTACAATCTCATTGACAAGGTGAGAGAAATGGAGACTAAAATAAAGCAGGAGATAATATGCGAAATTTTATCATTCTGATAGTGATGGCCATGCAGCTTTTAGAAACTGACCATTTTATTCAGTAAAATGAAATGTGTGTGTATGTATGTATATGTGTATGTATATAGACACATATGTATTGAGAAAGGGCAAATTCCGGTGTCTAGACAGTTACCCCAAATACCAACTATAGAGAATACAAAGGCTCAAAATAGCATTTTAGCCAGAAATATGTACTGACAATAATTCAATCCTTTAAAAAACATTAAGAAGACACCGCAGAGCACTGGGGGGTTCCAGACAATGATTCTGAGATTCTGTGGCCCCAGGTCATCCAGAGTAGGAGGCATCCGATGGGGGAGGGTGGTGGTCCACGGGTCGGGGTAGGACCAAGAATCTCTGTATCAGTGGCTCTCAACTCAAGAGATTTTGCCCTTGAGGGGACACTTGGCAATGCCTGGAGATATTTTTGATTCTCATAACTTAGGGGGCGCTGCTGGTACCCGTGGGTAGAAGCCAGGGATGCTACTAAAGAGCATAGAACAACCCTCACAACAGAAGTCCCGGCTGCAAATCGGGTGCCAAGGAGGAGAGCCCTGCTCTCGCTCAGCCGAGGTCTCGGGGAACTGAACTGTGCTGCCCGTGTTTCTAGGCAACATTCAGAGAAACGCAGTGGGAGGGCCGTTCATGCGAGCAGCCAGCTCATGGTGGCACAGACTGCACCTCCCGAGGGCAGGGCCGGTCTGTCCAGGCTGAACCCTTGGCACTTAGCACAGTGGCTCATGTGTGAGTGAATGAGTGAATGAGCAGTGCACACGATTGCACACATCTGCACACAGAGGATGCACATTCCTGCAGTCAGGGAACCATCAATGTCGGTGAGAGACAAGCCGGGTGGGGGTCATGTCACTCAGGCCAGAGCAGGGAATGGCCCAGGCTGGGGGGGCCACAGCTGCCTTGTGCTGCCGTGGGCCGTGGGGAAATGTGAGCAGAGCAAGCATGACTAACGGTGGTGGGAAAAGGGCGGAAGAAAGCCTCTGTTTTAGTATCCTCCTTGATTACAAAAGAAATCAGTGTCTGAATCTCCTGCTTTTTTGTGCCCACAGCACTTCTGGAAGCCTGTGCCTTCCTGAGGAGGTAAAACCCAAGAAGATGGCCCAATCCCACAGGGAGCCTCGGCCCTCCCGTCGCTGGCACCCCGCCCCCACCCCCACTCCCAGGCCCCCGGAGCCTCTTCTCCCTTCCCCCGGGCAGTGTGCTACTCACACCTGTTTCCACAATTCCCTGCTGTCATCCTCGCAAGAAATAAAACCAGAAATGCTGTTGATTTCCATTCCGTATTAAGCATCGTTCATCTTTTTTAGAATTTTATGCTGAAATCTTGTGTCTGATCCAACACCTGCCTGGTTGAACCTTTCCCCAGCCAACCTCTTCACACTGGTCTGAGCAGCCGCCTTCAGTGTCTTCAGTGGGGTGTTGGGCCGCTCCTGCCTTCTCTCTTCACCTCGTGCTTCTATTTTAACCCGTTCATTCTCCTGCCTGGTTCCGGAAAAGGACCCCCCGCCCCTCAGCCCAGCCTAGGAGCCTTTTCATCTCCCTTCTGAGCGCTTCACTATTTCTGATCCTGTTGACCACCCGCTCCTTCTTTTTCTTTCTTTTTTAAAACATATTTTTATTGATTTCAGAGAGGAAGGGGGAGGGAGAGAGAGATAGGAACATCAATGATGAGAGAGAATCATTGATTGGCTGCTTTCTGCATGCTCCCTACTGGGGATCGAGCCCGAAACCTGGGCATGTGCCCTGCTGGGAATTGAACTGTGATCTCATGGTTCATAGGTCAACAATCAACTCTGAGCCACGCCGGCTGGGCCACCTGCTCCTTCTTGAAACCCTGTTCCCTCTGCTTCCGTGCCTCCTCCTATCTCACCTCCTTTTCTGCATTTTGGGGGGTCCTGCAAGTGTATCCTCCATGATTTTCTTCTCCAGAGTTTTGTCTCTGACCCACTGTCTTGATGCCACAGAAGGGAATTAGGGGAGAACCAAATGTTTGGGTTTTGGCTACAAATGCCCAGAGTCCCCTCACTGGGGGCGTGGGGTCCAGTGGGGTCCAGGGAGCTGCTCCCTCAGGTTAGTCACCAGGTCAGCCACCCTCAGACAGGCGCCCAGGGCAGTGTTTGCATGGCGGGAGGCGGATGGAGAGAGGAAGGAAAGGGAGGTAGTGATTAGTATGGGGCCGGGGCCACAGCTGGGAAGTGGTCCTGGGGGAGGGGAGGCTGAGCCTATGGGATTCCAAGGAGGATCCTGAGCCTTGGCAGCGCAGGAGATGGATGCTGGGGGTGTTATTTGAATTTTAAAGGAGAAGGTTAGAGGACATGGAGACGCTTGGGTAAGGCAGGGAGAGATGGAGAAGAAGGGGAAAGTGCATTTCCTCAGCTTCAGCTTCCCCGGGGCAGCAGTGAAAGTTTCCAGTCATTGGAGGGCCCAGCGTGTGGGCTTGGTCTTAACAGGAGAAGGGTCGCTCTGAAAGGCTGCTGAGATCTATGTCATAGCCTGGGGGGGGTAGGGGGTACTAGACACCACATCCACAGTGACAGCTCTCAGCCCAGTTCATGCTCCTGCGAAGTTTGGAGATGAGGGTGCAGAGCCCTCAAGCCACTCAGATGCTTCTTTCTCGGGCCCTCCCTGTCCAGGCCACGCAGTTCAAACCCCTGACCCCCCACCAGACCCTCGGCCCTGCAGTCTTTCCTTCTCACGCTGAACTGAGTGCAGGCTGCGCTCTCGCATCTTCAACACCAAGTTCCTTACGGACTTCAAGGGGAGCTCGTGCCTGCATACCACGCAGTCTGCTCCCGTCTCCCTTCTCTGCCCAGGCAGGGCCATAGGATGCACCAGACCATCCAGGCCTTCCCCCTGCAACGCCCTCTGCCAGGAGTGGTTCCGGGGAGATTCTGCCTCCTCCCACTGTCCCCGTGGGGAGGACGTCCCACAGACTCAGGAATGTAATCTGACCTCCTGGTTGTTGGCCCTTAGGCCTCAGAATCCCAGAATGAAGTGCTCTCGGGCCAATGTTCTGCTCCAGACCCTTTGTCCAAGATGTTGAATTTTCTCGAGCCTGGTTGTGCTACTTTAACTGCAAAGTACAGAAACAAACAAAACCAAAATCCAATAAACAGCCTTAACTTTCTGTTTCCTCCTCACTGAGTTGGGAGAGAGCTGCAGGGGGGTCATTTCCTGGTTTGCTCCAGTGTTTTCTCCTCCATCCTCTTCTACCAGGGGGCGGGGGGTGGGGGGGTGGGGGGCGAGGAGGAGGTGGGGAGTGAGTGGGGGGAGGAAGACCAGGCAAAGCGAATATGACCTTCAGGGTGGGACCACTCTTGTCCCAGCAGGCTTTGCTCCAAGGGACACGGACAAGCAGAAGCAAACACAGACAGGATGAGCCTCTCCCACACTGCCCTCCAGGGATGGTGGCCTAGCCCTGCTGTACAGAACTGAGAAGAAAGCCTCAGATGGTGTAGAGGCACCTCCTCTTCTCTGCGTCTGACCTGGTCAGAGGAAGTCCACCTGCCTCATCTTCCCTGAGGTGGACTTGATCTTCCATAGAGGTCAAGAGTCTTCAGACAAACCGACCCACTGAGACTCCCACACAGGACGCCCACGCAGGACGGGGCAGGGCGGCGGTGCAAGGGAAAGGTGTTAGGAGAAGCGGCTGCAAAGCCCTTCATGGTGTCTGGTCCGAGAGCAGTCGGAGGACGGCCCTGCCAGCCCACAGAGGGCCCCTGGGCAAAGTCCAAGGGAGGTGCCCCTTTCTCAGGATATGTACAGTTCCTTCCAGGGATGGCGACCTGGTGAGCCATGTGGGTTGGATTTCGGCCACTGTGTGCCCCTCATCTGGATGCTGTAGGCAGGGCTCGACCTGCACAGCTGCACGGCCACCACAGAGACACAACACTAACCAGCAACAGGGTAGCCCCAACCCCTCCTTCCCTCTCCCAATGACTTCTGCATATTTCACAACTTCTCTTGTATTGATGCTACTTCCCCATACAGAGAACCATGCAGCAGCTTCCACCACAGGGCTCCCCTGGGGAGTCATTCACGGTTCATCTCAGACATCCTCCAATCAGGCCACAGCTTTATATTAAAAAAATATATATATTATTGATTTCAGAGAGGAAGGGAGAGGGAGAGAGAAATAGAAACATCAATGATGAGAGAATCATTGATCGGCTGCCTCCTGCACGCCCCACAGTGGGAATCAAGACCTCAACTCAGGCATGTGTTATAGATCAACACTCACCCACTGAGCCACACTGGCTGGGCCATGGCTTTACCTTGTATCACCAGTAACTCTCCCTGGCCCAGCAATGACGTCATGCCCCGACTCCAGGCCACATCTCTAGGACTAGTTTGGGTATATGTCCTCATCATTTTTCCATCTCCAAGTGGTATGGGCATAACAATTCTGAAGCCTCTGGTGTGTGTAGGATTGAGAACATGAGTAAATGTGTTGATGCTTCTGGGACCTGGAGTAACTGAGAGAAGGAAGGAAGATGGAAATATGTAATGGGGAAAGCAAGGCAGAACCTATGGGCTGAGCTGCCATGGGAAGTATTAGTGTAGACTCATGATCTGGGTACAATTTTTTTCATTGTTTATTTTTGGTAATACAGGTCAACTAATGAGAAAAATGAAATTCTTCTTTGGAGGGTAAAATTTTGCTTAATTGGGGTTCAAAATGAGTATTCTTTATTATTAAAATAGATTATTAAAATAGATTGCAAATGTTCATCGATTAATACTGATCTGTGGTGAAATTGTACACATTTCATTCTTGAAGATGTCTTTTCTGATAGGTGCTGCCCAATACTGCTATCAGTCTGCAAGCATATGATTTTAATCGTGCATGTTTACCACCTGGAAGAAATTTACTGCCTTGCATTAGACCAGGGGTGGGCAAACTTTTTGACTCGAGGGCCACAATGGGTTCTTAAACTGGACCGGAGGGCCGGAACAAAAGCATGGATGGAGTGTTTGTGTGAACTAATATAAATTCAAAGTAAACATCATTACATAAAAGGGTACGGTCTTTTTTTTTTTTTTTTTTTTTTAGTTTTATTCATTTCAAACGGGCCGGATCCGGCCCGCGGGCCGTAGTTTGCCCACGGCTGCATTAGACCCTTCTCTCTCGATGCTTACCTTTGAGCTGCCATGCCATTTGATGGCACATCGCTTCCAACTGGAGACTAGATGGATGCGCGTCAGGTGCACAGACTGACTCTGAGTTATGGCAATCTCTATCGGCCTTGCACTGAGGTCTGCAAAACCCCGGGCCAGTAGTTTGAGCTCTGAACTTTTATTGTACCGGAAGTGTGACCTGACATTTCTTGTGATTCAAGCATTAGTTGTCAAGTCACTTTAATGCCATATCTGTTTCACACGTAAGTGCGATTTTTGCCTTGTTATCCTGGGTTGAGTTGATTAAGAAACATAATCCATTTCACAGAAAAATCTAATTTTCAGAGCCATTCAGTGTCCTGCAAGGTAGATAAAGACAGTCCTTCTTGTTCAAAAAAATGTCAATCCTGGCCTTGACCTCTAAATATCATCATAAAACGACTTCCCAGTGCTAAGCCACCAGACTGCTGTATGGTGGGGTGAGTCAGGATATAAAATTTTAAAAAAATATATTTTATTGATTTTTTACAGAGAGGAAGGGAGAGGGATAGAGAGTTAGAAACATTGATGAGGGGGAAACATCGACCAGCTGCCTCCTGCACACCCCCCACTGGGGATGTGCCTGCAACCAACATACATGCCCTTGACTGGAATCGAACCCAGGACCCTTCAGTCCACAGGCACTCTATCCACTGAGCCAAACCAGTCAGGGCAGGATATTAAATTTTTATTTCTGGAAAAAGAAATCCACAGAACTGATGGTGGTTAAGTCCATGAGAGCCAATGAAGTTCATGTTGATACTAGTGGTTTAATGCACACAATGAATTAACATACTTTCCACAAAGTACCACAAATGAAAAATCACACTTTAAATAAACACCTTCCATTTTCAAAAGCTTTGTAATGTTCACCTAAGCCTTGTTCTGCTTAACACGTATTTTAACCACGATCAGTTGTAACAACATCTTTGCAGACTTCACTTTGGATTGTTCTGAATTAGTATTTTCTCAATTTCTTAGAAAATATTTTTGCCTGTAGTTACTGCATGCAGAGTGTTTATGGAGGCTAATTCTTCACTCTCTTCAAACTCACCATTGACTCAATTGATAGCAGCTGGAACACCTGTTGACCCATCAAAAGCCAAAGGAAAACCCCTCAAAATCATTTGCATCATTTTTAAAAAACTGACTATTGGTATTATTCCCAATGTCCTCAGCTCTTCAAGCAACTGTCATCAGTGGAAAGCTTACCAGACTTAAATGAGTTTTTCTTCTCTGGACACATTTTTAAAAATTGCTTCAGTCAAACATAATTCCATTAATTCAGCCTAGTTACATGGCTTTCCTTGCTTGGCCATTCAGAAACTTACTTTGCTTACAGACTGGTGCCATGCAAAAGGAGCTGGTAACAGAAGTACTTGCAGTATGAGAATGAGACTATTTATATAACCTCTAAAACCATCGAAAACAACACCATGTTTGACTTATGAGTACCTGTGGTAAAAACAAAAAAACCGTGAGGAGAGGGCGCGAGCAGGTCTGTGAGGTGCTGGCTAGTTGGTTCTCCAGCCCAGAGACACAGCATGTGGGCAGCTCCTACAGCAACTGCTGGGCTGGGCCTTGCCCTGGTCCGGGAGGGGCCAGCCCTCCCATGTGCAGGCATTTGGTGGGGTCTGAGGCGAAGAGTGCTCTCCCTCGCGGGTGTGTTACTGGCCTTGCCAGCTGAAAACAAACAGCTTCTGATGGTCTTTCCTGACAGGATTGAGGGCTGGGGGAGAGGGGGTGGAGAAGAAGAAGAAAAAAGTTGACTGCACACCAGGTCCAGGGGCGAAATGCCGATTTGGCCCAGCAATGAAACCACAGCTGAAACGGCCCTGCAACTAAGTCCCCGCCTGGTTAAGTTCCCAGTGGCCCCTGGGCATTGTCCAAGACCCATCTGGCCCTGCACAAACCTACTCCGCCATTTGCATGGGGTGCCCTCCTGCATCTTCCCAGTCTTGCGGGAATTCCTCTGCACATGCAGTCTTGCTTGTTTAGCATTTTATCAGGAAGAGCAGTTCCAGTGGCTTCCAGTTGGCCTTTCCCCCCATGGCTGCCCTCACTCCACAGAGAATCAATGCAGGGATTCTGTCCGTTGCTGAGTGTGTTTGTCCTGTAACTGGGGACATAGCTATTGGACGGCTTCGGGGACCCTCTGGACCCACTGTGAGACAGACCTGAGGTAAATCTCCAATGACCATCCAATTGCCAGCTGCCTTGAGAGGGCAGGGCCTTACCCAGTTGTCTGAGGCTCGGGGAGGCCAGATGGCTTATGTTAAGTCGCACAGGAAGACACACACGCCCTTTCCCAGCCCCTCCTGAGCATGGCCTCCCAGGAAGTAGCTAAAGGCCAACCCCCAGGGCAACATCAAGGGGCTCAGAGCCTAACATTTGGATCAAAGATGTTCTTCTGTTAGATGTGCCAGAGATAGTGCTTTGGAGAAGTTTGTTTTTTTCTCAGTGTCTATAAATGGGCAGCTGAGGGGAGCAGCAGCCAGAGGACCTGCCTTCCACCAATCCTCTGGATTTGTAATTTATTGTAAAAAATCCAGTGCGGTGACATTCAGGAACTCACAGGGCCCTGCAGACAGGTGAGGAAGTACTAGGCGGGGGGCGGGGGGTGGGCAGGGACAGTGGGCAGGAGAGGAAAGAGCACCGATGTCAGAGAGTGACAAGCCCGGACTGTGACACAGCAGCTGTGCCATTTAAGCCTCAGTTTCCACTTTTCTAAAATGAGGCCGATGACCCTCGGTTTTCTCTGAAAGACTGATCTGTGGAGCCGATGAGATGTCTGAGGAGGCACTTTATAGAGGCGAAATCTCTGCTGAAACTCTGCTGAAATTCAGGCGG